TTTTTTTCTTAAGTGTGACATTTCATAATGCAATCTACCATTAAACAGAACACTGAAAATGGGTGTACTTTCCAAAGCAGTGTCATATTGCTGGCCAGCCCCTGAGATGACATTTTGACTTTCTTACTGTATCTCTGTAAAAGAAAGCTGCTGTAGACAAACAAGAGCTTAGAATGACTTGGCAGATTGATAACATCGAGGTCTTTTTCCACAGCATAAAACATTAGTGCAGAAAGGCAATGTGGTATGGATAGCTTTTGGTAGGGCAGGGCCTATCTGCTACCATCTCTGATAACAAAGTCCAGTTGTAGGCTCTGGGGGGAAAAAGATCATCTAATCTTTCTGGAAGTTACTGGGAGTCAAAAACTCGGATAGGACCACCTACATCAAACATACTGCATGCATTCTGTTGTATGACTGATAGTTGCATATTTGTAGCTTTTAGAATGATGGAACAGTCCTCTTCATGGACTTAGCTTTTATAAGGCTGAAATTTTCTGTGCCTGACTGCAGGAGGTTTAGGTCAGAAAATGAAAGACTGCTCTAAGATGTACAATGAAATTTGAACCGTTGCCAACAGCATTTTCTACAGTGACTTGCTAGTCCTTTTCTCCCATGACCTGATTGCTTTCACATTTATTTATGGGTTGTGTGTGATTTCAAGACTAATTACAGGTTTTAGAAATCCAATTACTTTTTAAACCAGACATTTTTATTGGACATAACATATCTGCATAAAACATTGACACTACAATCCTCAGGACTGATTTTATAGTATGTAAATCTGCTCTGCTGAAATATGTAGGAGAGAAGACATCTTTTGAGCAGTAATTCATGAACTAAAGTTAATATTTATGCTGCTTCTGTTTCTGATGCTTAGAATATAGCTGGATATACATTCTCTTTCCCCTGAAATTGTTTTTTCTTGGTTTTGATGGCAGATGTCAACTGTCTCAAGGTTGAAATTTTCTGAAAAGAATGCTTTGTCAAAAATATTGATTAGTTGATTTAAAATTTAAGCCAATATAGCACTTTTGATCATGCTCTTGTCAGAAAATAACTTTAGGACTGGAATGGAATTTCTAATGAGAATAGAAGAGCATCCTACTGTGGCGTAATCAAGTGGTGATTAGGGCAATAACCAAAATATGGCAAAAGAAAGGTTGTGCATAGGAAAATAGACTATCAGGAGAGATTGACACTCAACTTAAAAAAGCCCCTGAAATAGTTTTTCACCTCAGGTGGTGAAGAATTGTACAGTAAATCAGCTTTGCAAGTAACATAATAGATAAACTATTGTTCCATAAAATTTTAATCCTATTTTTTGTTTTGTTTTCCTGTAGAGACATCATGAATAATAAAGTGTTTTACCAACATCCAAATCTCATGAGAGCTTTAGGCATGCATGAAACTGTCATGGAAGTGATGGTAAATGTGCTTGGTGGAGGAGAATCTAAGGTAAAGCAATCACTGTTAGAAGACAAATTGATTTCAGAATATAGCTGTTCAAAGCTTTATCCTGTAAGGCATTGAGCAGTCATTGAGGTACTGAGACCATAACCTCTTAGTAATTTCCATTAGCACAACAGTTGACTAAATTTTTAGAAGAATGTATCCTTCCATTCTGGAGGAAGATATAATTAGCATTGTAATTACAGATGCTGTAAAGAAAAAACTACAAAGAGCGCTTTATATGCTTTTTTTTTTTTTTTAAAAAAAGGGGAGATCTTTTTAAAAACTTATTAAAAATTGATGCAGTATTACTCTGTGAATCTGAGCATTCACATTTTTTCGTGTTTGAATCTCGAATTTATGGGTGATCCCAGCTTTTGTTTTTCAAGCTTATCACAGAATCGCAAGGGTTGGAAGGGACCTCAGGAGATCACCTAGTCTAACCCTCCTGCTAAAGCAGGTTCATGTAGAGCATGTTGCGTCTTCAGGGCTTAATGAGTTATTTACTTGCTGAGAAAGGGTGAAACCTGGAAAGTTAACTTCACTGAGGTGCAATGAATACAATGCATAAATATTAGTGTGTTAAAAAATGTTATGCTTGTCTTAGAGTTTGAGCTTCAGTCTGTTTTTATTTGCTTCTTAGGAAATCACTTTCCCAAAGATGGTGGCAAACTGCTGTCGTTTTCTATGTTATTTTTGCCGCATCAGCAGGCAGAATCAAAAAGCTATGTTTGATCATCTTAGCTATTTACTGGAAAACAGCAGTGTTGGCCTTGGTAAGTAATAAGTTTTTGAGATTCTAAACCAAAACCAAAATCTTAAAAAGTTTTGCTGATTTATGTATATGTATATATACACACCACCTGTGTTTTTCTGCATCCCTCTGCGCCCTTTGTGTTCAAGTTTCTCCTTTACCCAGTGCAAAAATATCTTCATTAACTGTATTGCCAAGTCCAAACAAACCCCTGAAGTTGAGGTGATTTAGCATACACTTTTTCGTATGTGTCTGGACATAAAGAGACAGTCAGTGTTCAGTTGCACATTTTGAAGAACAGAATAAAATCCTGATTTTGATGAAGAGAATCATAAATAAGCATTGGCAGCATTTCATTAGGACTTACTTCTCACTACTCAAACTTGCTCCCCTGCACTTTCTTCTGTAGACTTTTCAGTATACACCTATGGCAGTGTGAGAAATACAGAGCTCATTTGCTTGGGTATGCATGTACAGGTGCCCAGAAGTGAACCTTGAAATTTAGCCTTGAAAATGTTAGCCTTTCTTTTCTAGCCTGAAGTGTTATAGAGGAGATACATTTATCCTTATTTAGTTTAGTACTTATAATTGGAATTTATAATTATTTAGAATCATCATAGTAATTTTTTTAAATTATCACAAATTTGTTATTAATGCATAGGTACAGGACAGAAACATAAACTAAAGATCTTTTTGGTACCCAAATCAAATGCATTTGAACTGTTAATATGAAAACCATAGCTTTTTCTAATGCTATAATTACTGCCATTTTTTAAAGAAATAGATAACACATAATCTTATATTTTAAAGCTTAAAGATGTTTTCTATTTCAATACATTTGATAAAATGTTTTAGGTATAAAATCCCCGCTACCTTTTCCTCAAAATGAAGTTATGCCAGTTAGGAAAATTAGAAAGAATGAAATCTTAAAACAAAGTATGTGATGAGAATAGGAATGTTTAAGAAAAGTTATTTCTAGCTTGAACATCTACATTGTGTTTTGATTTCATATCAATGTCAAATTTCATATGAGAGCATGATTTTATTATAAAGTGAGTTATATAAATGATACGCTTATAATTGTGTTAATGACAAAATGTTGTATTTTATTTAAAAAAATTGTTAATCTATTTCCTATCAATTTGGGGGGGGGGTTATTAACTTGGTGTTGAAACTAAATATTATTTTAACAGCCTCTCCTTCTATGCGAGGATCAACTCCTTTAGACGTTGCAGCAGCCTCTGTGATGGATAATAACGAACTTGCACTAGCTTTAAGGGAGCCTGATCTAGAGAAGGTTGGTAGCTTCTTTACTAAGCATTTTTTTCCCCTGTAGAGAGGGGAAGACCCCTGTTTCCTGGAGTAATCAAAATCCAAGATTATAAGAATTATGTGGGAGGTTTAGGTACCTTTCAGAGGAAGACTATCAGGATCTGATTGTTTGTTCTTTCTGGTGGTGGTCTGGATAGTTGAACTGAGTTTATGGTTATAACATACAAAGGTGTAACCAAAAGGAATTGCCTCAAGGGCAGCTCTTAACTTTGGAAATAGTGGAGTCCATACCCAACAATACTTCACTGCTAAAATCTTTGTTGTACTTTCTCGATGATGACATGCAGCGGTGGCATAATGCAATAGGGGTTACTTGAAGCCACCGAGGTGAAGGGTTCTGGAGCAGAGGATTGCGCCAAGGGACCCTTCCTAAAGTGGCAAAACTGCGGCAAAAAACGCGGCAGCAAAAGGCGGAAAAGCACAGGGGGAGAGAGGGGACCCCAACCCCCCGCCCCCAGGGCGGGAAAGAGCAGGCTCCTGACAAGCAGCAGCTCAGACTCAGCGTGGGTGGAGTCAGGAGTGACAGAGGCCTGATCCTCTGATGTGCAAGAGTAGCCCCTGGGAAGCGCAAGCAACCCGGAGCTCAGTGAAAAGGACAGGCAA